ACTAATAATATAATGTTGTCCAAATCCTCCAGTAGTATCAACTCGTTGCATTAACATCTTGAACTTCTGGACATAATCAGATACACTTTGTCTAGGGTTTTGTTTAATCATTTCTAACTCAGACATCCATCTATTTTTCATGGTGGCGTTGGCAAAATAGTTTAAGAATGCATTTATAAAGCTATTAGGATTTCCTTGTACATGTCATTCTTGATAATTTTCTTGATTTTCATCATACTATTTGACCGCAGCATCTCTTAAATATCCAGCTGCAATGGCTATTTTTCTATTATTATTCCATTAATTGGCAGTAGCAGCTCGATTAAAAAAGGTGATCCATTCGAAAGAATCAAGTCCATGAAAATAGTTTGGTTTTACCAGGTTGAGTTTAGCATGATTAACTTGTACCTGTCATGCATTATTGTTGTTTACAGCTATCATTTGTAGGGCAAATGTAATTTGTTGAAGTGCCTGAGCCAATTGTGCATTTTGATTATTTTGATTACCACCTTGAGCGAATTGATTAAATTGGAAAACATTTTGTTGAGGTTGTACAGTTTGAGTTTGTTGAGATTGTGGTTGTCCGAATCCCATTCCTGTTGATCCAAAACCTGTTCTAGTATTATTACTTACAGTAGTAGTGGTAGTATTAAATCCTGTTGTATTAGGATTATTAGCTATATTACTCCATTGAACATTCACCGTTGTTGTGACAGCTGGTTGTTGAGATGAATTATTACTTCCTGATGTAATACTAGGAGTTCCTGTTGTAGTTCCTCCAGATAGGCTACCAAAGTGAGACATTGTAGAACTAGAAGAAGTATTGGCTTTAGACAATTGAGTAAAATGTGTGACCGGTTGTTTTCCTTTAGTTATTAGGATACTAGTTGCTACTGGTGAAAGTGTGAAAGATCTATTTTCTATAGTTCTGATTGCAGTGTTGTTGAATAAGTTGAATGATGGTAATTCTTGAAATCCTCCTCTTTCTAGGGTTGGTGAAATAGTACTAAATGAATCATTTTCAGAAGATTTTTCTGGTTGAGTTCCTACAACTATTCAAGAAACTTTTTCTAATTATTCCAAAGTTAAATTTGAAGGTCGAAAAGATGATTCTTGAGAATAATTAGTTGGTAAGTACTCAGAGTCAAAGTATAGATTAGTAACAGTTAAGGGTGGATATTTAGTTTCTTCATATGAAATAACTAAGTCTGCAAGGATTTGTCTTCTTTGTTCAGCGTTTGGTAAATATCCTTCAGTTGCTTCAGTATTTGTAACAGTTTCTTCGTCTGAGTCAAAAGTTTCCAAAGTTTTAGAAATAGTTTCTAAATTGGTTTGAGTAATTGTTTCTTCATCTGAACTTTCTTCAATAATAGAATTTAGTTGAACAGTTGGGGAAGAAGAAGTTGATTAAATTGGTTGATTTTCGCTTGAGCTACCTAATGCAATGACTTTTTGAACATGCAATGGAGGTTTTGATAGCGAACTGATATGATCTTCTTTGATATTGAATGGAGGGGATCTTAGTTGTAATTTCTTCCTGATCAAAGAGTTCTAGTTTTTGCAGGGTTCAAGGAAGATGGAGTGTTTTCTTCAGAAGGATCCACATTGAATTCTTGATTAAATATATAGTCGTTGATTATAATAGTTATATTTGACCACTCAGCAAAAGGTATACTTCCTTTTTCTACACAATTTGTTTTTACTAATAAGACTATTAATTCAGCAATTGGGGGTAAGCTAGCAACTTTCTTATATCTAAAACTTCTGATTAATGTAGAAACTTAAGAAGTTATAGTTCGTACAAGATCGATATCTTCAGGTTGTTCGCTTAATTCTTTAGTTACTTGTTATAATACCTTAAACAGATTAAGGGTATATCCAGAGTATCTATATGATCCAAATTAAATGTGATATCAGTACTGAAAGTCTTCAAAGTTATCAGGTTCAGGTAAATATAAGGGATAACAAATTTGACACGAAATATCTTTTCCTATTAATCTTTCAAGATCAATATCAGATTCGTGACTAAGGTTGTGTAGTTGGTTATCTTCTTTAAGAGTATTTAAATCCACTTTAATTTCTATATACTTTTCTCTTTGTATTAGCCTAGCAGGAATCACTACTTTGTTATCGGGAATAATCTTCTCTGATTACTTCACGTAATTTATCTAAGTTTCTTTACTGCGGTAAGTAACTTCCTTATCATTGGATTTTACAACCTTAGGGAATCTTACGTCCTACAGGTATCCGGAATGCCTTGGAATTACTTCACTTGACTTTACGAACTTAAAAGTTTAGAGATTTAGGAAATTTAGAGAATTTATATATTCTAAGTAACAAATTTAATCGCAAGTTAGTGTATTGGTTCACAATCAAATCCTAGATGATAGACATATAGAAGGGAAAGTATTTTTGTTTTAAAAGTTGATTCCTTTATTACTTGAACTTGTAATAAAACTGAAACTCACAATAGAGTTTAAAACTCGCAAAAGAGTTATTTTATAACATGAGCAAAAAGCTATTCTATTTATACAAAATTAATTTGCTACGGCTAACTAATTGCTATGTTATAAACTAGCTAAATTTGTAATTTCAAATGTTAATATAATAATGATAATAATTATAAGAAGAATAATAATTATAATGATAATAATGAGTATAATAAAAATAATGAAAATAAGAAGAATAATGATAATAATTAAAATAATGGAAATACAGGGAATTAGGAAAATCTAATGAATCATGTTAATCCGACAAATCCAGTAAATTCTAAGAATCCTACGAATTCCCAGAATCCTGTAGATCCTAAGAATCATCAAAATCTGGATTTATGCAGATCATTTGGCACAGTATTGGTCACGCTTATTACGTCATCATTCCATTGGTCACTAATGATCAGTGCAGTAAGGTCAATTTCAGATATTGACAATGAGTTAATTTCAAGCTATAAATTGATTTACATCCTCTCTCATGTATTATTTTTAAAAATCTTTTTAATTAAGTTCGATCATCCTCAACACCATTTAGCTCGATGCATTTCCATAGAATAGGAGCATCACTAAATTCTTAATCTTTGAATAAGAACCAAATGATAGTATTTAATCTTATTATATTATCTTATTAAATAATTTTTAATGTGTTGATCTACTCAAACTTATCATATTAGGAACTTCTAATACAAAAAAATCATATTTATTAAAGATGATTTAGAATTATCTTTGTAAAATTATATAGGATCACAATGTTAATGCTTTATCTATTATGCTGCTTGTTTTGACCATACATTCATCATTTCCATTTCAGGCTAAGTACCTAATGGTATTCTTGTCATTTCTTCAAATGGCAATCAAAAAGACAAATAATTCTCAATTTAAGATATTAATAACAGATATATCAAATATTTGTCAGGCATTTACTTCTTATTTAATTTAAAACCAAGACAATAGAATTTACCGGTAATGAAAGGAAAAGTACCAGAACAATGCAGAGAATTTAAAGCTATTACTGATGATTTTGGAAATATTTATGTTTTTGATTATGGATTATACAGATGAACTTATAGAAGAGGAAAAAGATAATTATATATATCTTTTCATAAAAAAAGAAGAAAACGCCTCTAAAAAATTTTAAAAAATATATATGTATTGAAGTTATATGAGCAAGTCAATTCTTAGTCACGTGGATTATAAAAAGTATTTCAATGCATTGGGGTGAACCCATATAAAATTACTATTGATAAATTTTTTATATTAAACTTTAATTAAACTACGTCCTATAATAAATTCCTTATTAATCGATACATTTTCAAACTTCCATAATTTTTGGATTCTTTCCATTCTTTACATTTCTATTTATAAAATACTCCAAATCATTATCTCTTTCGTATAATAGTTTGATTTTTCTCAATAAAGTTTATTTGCGTTCAAAAAATAATAAAGTAAAATTTTTGGGCATAGTTATCTAGGTAAAGAAAATATTGTTTTAGCATTTTTCAGAAAAGCAAACTATCCCATCATTCTTTAAGTTATTGTGTATTTGTTTATGTTTTTATATTATTTAAATACTAATTCTTTTCAAAGTTATTTGAAAATGCACGTGAAAGTTCAATATAAAAAATTTATCAATAATATTTACATAGTTTTGATTTAATTAATCCATCGAGTCTCACATTATCACGTGACATAATCTATTTACAGATTCTGCCTAAATAAAAACCGTGAACATGAATCAACACATACTTCTTTTATAAATATTATATTTTATGTTGGAAAAAAATTTTTTTTCTCAACTGCTGATATTCAAAATTATTATATTACCTATTTCCAATTTAGCTACAATTCAGTCCGTTTATTGAGAATTAATAAAAAAGTTTTCTTCTAATGCTAAATAAATATTAGAAACTAAGAGAAAGTTTCTTAACTATAAATACACGATCGACGCCAACACCAATAAAAAAAACCATGATCATCCTTATGATCTTTGAAATTAAAAAATAACCTGATGGAAATTATTTTGCTTTATTTACCCTGCATATTATGCACATGGAATTTAATACTATTTTCTAGTAGCATTTGACAAATTGTTAATTAACCAAATTTGGTTATTATAATGTTAAAAAATTTGTAACTGAAAAAATTAAATGAAAAAATATGGTTTATTTATTACATGAAGAAACATCATCACCTTCAAAAGAAAAAAGATAACGATGTTACGGAGCCTATACAAGAAAAATTTGCGAATACGAATTAAAAAAATAATAATAAGTGCACAAAATAAACAAATTATGTGAAAATGCAAAAAAGTAATAGAAACTAAAATAAGAGTATCGTGAAATAGCTATTCATGGAATCTTGACCTAAATCTATGTGATTGATGTTGGTGAAGTTAGCATGACAAAGAAGTGTTCATGAAGGAATTAAAAAAAAAAATTTAATTTGTTTTTACAATAAAAAAGGTAAACCCAGATCCGCTTCACACACATTTTTTATCGTACCGAAATGTCACTAAAAAACCCCCCCAAAGCGCTATTATTATTATTAGTGTTATTTGAATTGCCATTGGGCATATTCACGATATTTCCACTACTAGGATCGATAATCGGTATTGATTTTGTTACTTTGGTAGGAGTTGCTAAAGACTGATATTGTTGCATTGTTGGAGAATAATTGCCACCATGACAATATGGCGATCCTGGCCGTGAAAAGAATGCTGAAGACATTGAAACATGTCCTGTACTTGTAGAAGATTTTATAGGAGTAATATTAAGAGGTGTCTTATTATTAGGATCGATGATAGGTATAGGACGTTTAGATTGTGGAGGTGTTATTGGTTTCCTTTGACGGTGAATTTCTGCAAGCTAAAAAATAATAAAAAAATAATCATTAAATCAAGATAATAGCCAAATGGGTTTTAGTATTTCGTTTTATACCTCCTCTGCCGACAATGAAGGACAATATTCGAAGTCATCATCAAACCCTTTAGCGGCTTCCTGACGACTTCTATAGTTTTCCAAACGCATGGCTTAATATAAGAAAGAAAAAAAGTTTAGTTATTTGTTTTAAGTCGAAAATATTACATAAAATATTTTTTTTTTTAAAAAAAAGTAAATATACCTCGCATTTCTTCATGGGCCATTACTGTTAAGGTTTGAGTAAAAACAAATATAAATAAAAGTACTTCGAAGTTATTATACACTTTCTTAAAAGTCAATAGTTAATTACCTGTAGAAGCAGAATAATTTATTTTTTTTATTTTATTTCTTTTTTATTTTTTTTTTTATTTTTTTTTAAAATAAATAGTAAAAAGTTGGTGGCAAAGGAAAGTAAGAGAGTTGGGAAAGAAAATGCTGTGGACCGTTATGAGAAAAGTTGAAAGTGATTATATCCCGATTTTTTTTTTTTTTTTTCTTACTTTTGATGCATTGTAACTACTTTTACCCCGTTTTTGTAGTAATTTGTACTGCTTGTAGATCATCGCATTTTAATCATTGACATCATTCAAATGAACCAATTAAAATAAAGCTTCGGTTATATTACGAAATCTTTATACAATTTAGGTTTTTTTTAGTTTTAAAGCCACAAACTTTAATCTTAGAAGTCGGTCAAGGAAATGCAAAACCGGCGGATCATTTAATTGTTTTAAGAATAGAATTTCTTTTTTTTCTGAAACAAGAAAACAGTGAAGGAATTGCGACAAATTTCTAATCCTATTATTTGTAGATGATGAGACATGAGGTTAATCTCAAAACAATATTATAAACACAGAGAAAGAAATATTGTATGAAACCTTTGTGGTAAACATCTATAAAAAGCATAATCCTTAAAGTTGCATGTTAATCTCAAGCCAAAAATAGAAATTCATACATTTAATATTAATTGTTGGACCAATTATGGGTTTATCCAAATATCACGTGAAAGAGAAGCTATGAAAAGATTACTTCAACTTTCTCGTGCCATTTTAATCTCACTAGTTATTACGCTCTAGCTAATAAAGTCATTAGTCTTATCATTAGTGATGTCATAAATAAAAAGTATAAAATGTTTCCTGTTAGAAAATCCTCAGTAAAAAAGTTTTCACCACAATGCAAATCTTGGATCTTAGTGAAGTTCTTGTGATTTATACTTTATTAGGAGGTTTTATAGTGCTATTTGGTCTAGTGTCTTTAATAGTAAAAGAAAGGCTATATTTAAGTGAAGCTCGTAAGGAATCCCGTTATTCATGATCTGCATTTAAAATCCGCTTCTCGAACCATTTTTGAAACTTTTCCTTTACCAAATCGCATTTCAAGTGGTTGCTTTATTAATGGGTTTAATAATAGGTCCTGCTTGTTTTCACCTGGTTGATCCGACGGTATATAAATTTTATAACTTTTCTATTTGATGAAGTCGTAACTTTTATTATTTTGTCTGACTTTAATTTATTAAAAAGAAATGGGAATCAAAAATAACCGAAGAATTAACGCGAATTGTACTTGCAATTCAGGTATAAAATTCAATTCTTTATTACACGCATTTTCTTAAATATCCAGATAACGTGAATTCAATTCAAATTTAATAGATTATGACTGCGGCAATAAATTTACCGAGGTATTTACTTATAATTTAATCAATTTAGTGGCCTTTTTCAATCATTTGTGATAATTATATTGTATAGAGCGTATATTACACGACAATACCTTTCCATGATTATAATGTTGTTGCCAGTTATGGTTTGGATGTGGATCACTAGTGCTGTAATAATATATTTCTTTATCCCATCGATAACATTTGTGAGTAAAACATTTGATTATATTAATGATTTGAACGATTATGGCATGATAATATTTATGTTTCGTTTTCAAAATAGACAGAAACTTTATTGATAGCTTCGTGTATAACTCCAACCGATCCGGTGAGATTATTTTTTTACGGCACCTTTTCTTGATTTGTGATTCATTCTTAAAGTTTAATCTTTAATTCAGATCCTTGCAAACTCTGTGGTGCAAGGTTCTTTTGCAGAGAAACATATTCCAATTCATGTGAGACATCTTTTATCTGCAGAGAGTGGAGTGAATGATGGTGATGAATCAGTCTTATTTTATAAATACTTTTATTTTAACAGATAATAATATCATCATTATTATTTTTCTACTTTAGGGATGGGTTTTCCTTTCCTTTTCTTAGCACTTTATTTGTTAGAGTCACCTAATGATATTGGCACTGTTTTAAGTAAATGGGTTTATTTCGTTTGGGGTTATCATATATTATTTTCAATATTGGTCGGTTTCGTGATTGGCTGGGGTGCAAGAAAGTTGTTGAGATTAGCCAAGAGTCGGTAATTATTATTATTTTGATTTGATTTTATATTTTGTCTTCATACTTGATAAATAAAATTCATTTTTTGTCGTTTTAATTCAGCAATTGGATTGACAAAGAGTCTTTTTTAGTATTCGCCTTCGCATTAGCGGTTAGTTAATAATTAATTATGGTGTAATCTTAACAATATTTGAATTTAACGAACTTATCATTTAGATATTTATCGTTGGTAGCGTGAGCATTTTAGGTTCAGACGCTTTATTATCTTGCTTTATGGCAGGTACCTCTTTTTCATGGGAGTTAGTAATTCATAAAATAATTTTTTGTCGTGCATTTTTTTTTTTTTTAAAAAAAAAAATGAATAATCATTTATTTCATTATGAAATTAATTAGCGATTGGTTTCGAGAGGAAACTTACGATGCTCATTTACAAGAAGTTATTGATTTGCTCCTCAACCTTACCACTTTTATATATATCGGTGCAATGATTCCATGGTCTTCGTTTTCTTCTGAAGAACTTTCTTTAAAGCATCTTATTCCTATTAGCATCTTTATCTTGATTTTTAGACGGCTACCAATAATAATCGCACTTAAAAAATTTATCCCCGCTATACACACTTTTAAAGAGTCGGTGTTCGCAGGTTATTTTGGTCCAATTGGAGTAGGAGCGATATTTTTAGCCGTGACAGTCGAAAAAGAAATTAAAAAAAGTCTTGATCAACCGGAAAAAAAATATATGAACAAGGAAGCCATGAATAGAACACGAGAAATTATTTTTCCGATCGTTACATTCACAGTTCTAAGTTCAGTTATAGTTCATGGAATTACGGTGCCAATACTTAATATTGGATCAAAGATTGATATTGAACGATTACCAAGTATCGCCAGCATCGGTAATCATGTTGTTGAAAGTTTAACTTTAGAAAGGGATTCTCATGGACACGTCAAGAAGAAAGACAAAATGAAAGCAGAATATGCTCGAATTCCTTCTCGAAATGGTCAAGAGGGGTGTTATCATGATATTCATAAAACGAAAATAGAAGAGGAGGAACTAGAAGGGGAAGATGGAAAGGATCATGTTAGGACGGACATTTTTGTTGAAATTGATGAAAATAACCAGAGTAATAGGCCTACTTTAAATAGTCAATTAAGTAATTACTCGCAAGAATTGATAGAGGATGACACCATTACTGATATTGACAATCGGAACAGGAATGAATAGAATCTTCGAATAGCGAGAGTTCGAATATTTTATTAAATTATAATTATTACATTTACGATTTTGGTTTCTTTAATAACGCGCAGGTAAACATATGATATACAGAAAATTTATTAAATTGAAAAATATATTACATGATAAAAAATAAAATTTTTGATTGTTAATATAGAAAATTCCCTTATATAATCTTATCACGTGATATTAGTGATTTAAAAAGACGCATAAATATTTAAAGTAGGCATGCAGATCAATTTTATAATTAAATTTGTGTGTGTAACAGTAATTGAAAAATTTGCCTCATAGTTAACCGTTAAACTTAAGTAATTGATTGTTCTATTCATTTATTTTACCACTTTTAAAAGTTATTTTTTCTTTGAAATTTCGTCCTATAAAGCTTTTTTTTTTTAAGATCTTTAAAGTTGAAAAGGTATGATTTTAACAGTTAAAATAAATATAATTTTACATGAGGAAAAATAATTTCTTAGGTTGTAAAGGTAATTATTCAAATAGTTTTTTTGTATAAAATGCAAAAAATTGATTTTTTAGTAAAAAAAAATTAAAAATTAAAAAAATTATTTAATTTAAAAATGTTTATTGGATAACATTTAACTAATAATATATGTTATAATTTAGCAAAAGAAATAAGTTTTATTAAAGTGAAAAAGGTAAATATCAGTAAATTTTAGATTATTCTTGAATTATGTTAATATTTCTTTAATTTTTAATATAAAGAATAATAAAATTTATATATTTATTGTAGAAAATAATCAAATAATATTTTTAAATATATTTTTAAGTAGTTTTATAACTAAATAATTAGTTGAATAATTTGAATAATTGCAAATTTATTTGTTTATAATATTTTAAAAAATTTAAAGTTTGTTTTTATTTCAAAAATAATGTAATTTTTTGTTTAAAATTAAATAAAAATAGTTGAAAAATATTAGATAAACATAAAAAAAGAAGTTTTAAAAAGTTTTGATTATTCATATAATAAATATATCAAATAATAAATGATTTTTTCAACAAGTTCTTTTTAAACTAATTGAATCGTTCGCTTTTAAAGATTTATAAAAATTTTCGTGAAAAGTAAACTAATATTTTGATATAACAACTGTTCAATTTAGTTAGAAATATAATGCAATTTACATATCATAAAGTAAAAAAAAATGCAAAAAATCATATAAAATTTTGTTAATCAAATGGTTTACATTATATCAATGTCATTTGCTATGATCAACATGTGACATGTCTAGTGATTAATAATAGCTCCTGGATATAGAGTTATCAACTCTGTACATATACTTTGAAAAAATCTTTCTAAATAACATAAGTATAACTATAAAATAATGCATATTAGTATATAAATAAACCAGCATTTTTAATTTTCTTAATTTGGTATAAGCTTTACAGTGTACTTCTTATATAAATATATTTTTTAAAAATAAATATTATGTGATAAATACAGTTATAGAACAGGTTAAGTGTTTATGCCTTCAGAATAGATTTAGAAAGTAGATTGTTAAAAATATCACAAAAAATAAAATTATAATTAAATTCTATTTATTTAAATTAAAAAATAAGAAATAAGAAACTTACATGATTTAATATAAATTCTACCTATTCTTTATTAAAATAAATTTTATACTATTATGTTATTTAATAAAATTAAAATCAATTATATATGATCTTTATAATAGAAAATAAAAAAACTATTAGAAAAAATCAATTTTACTTTTATGATTTTTAGGTTAAAATATATTCAAATTTTATATTAACTAATTTTTTTTTTCTGGTAGTTTTTCTCCTTTTTATTGTAAAAGTCTTATATATTCTTAAAAAAAATTTTTCTTAGAAAAATATTTTCATTGAATTTCAAAAGTAAGATTTTTATACTTATGATTAAAGATGGTATAGCAATTGATTTCAAATTTATAAAATGTTGCAACATAAGCTAAAATTAGTTGCAACATATATAGGTTAAAACTAATTGCAACATAAGTTGCAACATTAAAAGTTGCAACATATTAATTACAGTTCTCATCTTTACTTATGATAATAATAAAAAGACTTAAGTTCAATATATAGATTATTTAAAAAATAGTGGAATTTTAGAGTTAATGAAAAAATTATTTTTTATATCTTATAATAGCAGAAAAATGATTTAGTTTAGAAATAATTAACCTAAATATAATAAGTTCAGATCAGATTGTTTAATTCTATCAAAAAGGTGATTATAATAAATTATCTAAAGCAAAGGAAAAATAACTTCTCCTTGATCAATGCCAACAAGGATTTCAAAAGGATCAGTAAGTCAGAAATTAGTAAAGTCTTTAGGTTAATCATTATTTCAGAAATCTTTAAATAAGCAAAAATATATTAACTCAATCAAAGGCTTTAGACATATCTTGAAGAATGTGAAGTTATTAGTATTAATTACTATCAATTTTTCATTGTAGTCTAAGATATTTCAATAGATTGTTAATAATATGAAAAGTTTCTGTTGTAAATTGATGTAAAAGACCTACAAAGTTAAGACCAGTAAGAGTATTTTGTTAAATGAAAATTTTTTGTAATCTGTTATTAAGAATTTTAGTAAACGTTTTTCTGATTGTTTTCAGTAATGTGATAGGTCTAGTATTATTCAGATCACAGTTCTATAGTTTAGATTTAGGAATTGAATAAATGTGAACTATATTCTACTGTTTCAGATGAGTCCAAAGATAAAGCAAGCACAAATTATTTTAAAAATAAAATTTTGGCAATCAGACTTATTTTCTTAAGAAATTTGTTAGAGATATTTGATAGGTCAGGAGTTTTATTATTAGACAAATGTTTGATAATAAGAAGTAAGTAAGAAAATCAAGTATATATTCATAAGCAGAAACATTAATATGTGAGAGCAATTGATAGAATTCCTGCCATTAGAGTCAGAATTTTGAAAACTAGTTATTAAGGAGTCTGTAGTTTCGATATTTTTTGAGCCAACTGCATTTTAGAAATATGAATTAGCAGTTTCTTTAATTTGATCAGAATCTAGTTTAAGGTAAGGATTTTAACCAGGTTTATTGATAGGTACTCTATCAAGTACTATAGTTTACCTAAATCTCTTGAGATAGGAGTTGATCATTTTTGAAAGTGCATCTCTATAGTTAGTAGCTCTTTGAGTAATAAAAACTTTAATACAATTATTACTTTCTTGCTTTAAAATAATTTTTTGTTTATATTCTAATAGTTTAATAATAGATGCTTTGAGATTCTAAAAGTAACTTAACAAATCTTTTTGATAAAATAATGAATTTAGTAATATAGAAGAAATATGATATCTAATTGCAATATTAAGGATATTTGAATATTCATTTAATATAGTAATAAACTGAATATTAGAGAATAATGTATTACTATCTATATCTCCTTTGTCTATATATAATTTGATTTTATAATAAATTTTATAAAGTTTCTTAATTTGTTTGTATATAGCTAAATTATTAAACTGTAAAGGAATTTGTGCTTCAAAGTAGTAGTAGATTTGGAAATATACTTATTGGCTGTATATGTAAGAAATTAAATGAAAAATTCCCAAGTATGATTAAGGGCAGTCTGTGAGAACTTAAATCATTAATGTCATAATTATAATATTTAACTGATTTTTTAATAAATTTATCTAATTTATCTGAAAAAAAATCCTAATACAAAAATGCAATTTTATTGAAATTCTATGATTTACATATTATTTTATGTTGTTTACAATATGTGATAAATGAATTGTTGAAAATATTATTTTGTAAATGATGTAAATGATAATGTGTAGAGGAAAATGAACAGAATTGTAAATATACTAGAAAAGTTAAAAATTTTAAAAAAAGTAAAATCATGTAAAAATGGTAAGAAAGTAAAAATATAATCTAAATATAATTAAGTTTTGTAGATTATGAAGTGAAATTGATTCAAATTGATTTGATCAAATATTTGAGTTTAATTCTATTCAATTCGAGTTGATTTGAAAAAATCAAATTAAATTCAAATTGCTTAAATATTTGATTTGATTTGATTTTGAGGAACCCTAACTACTGTAACTGTATCTTTTAATTTATAGTGTAATTTTATTATATTGATCAAATAAAATCATCTCCCAGTGTCTAAATAAAGTTATTTAACACTAAGATGTACTTTGTATTATAATATTTAAATGTAATTAAAAAAATAATATATGAAAAATAATAATCATTTTATATAAATCATTTTAAAGCATTATTAATATCACGTGAAAAATGATTATAAATAGTTTATTTATTAATTATTTAATATACAAATTTTTTTTTTAATAATAATCGTTATTAACACATACAGTCAAACCTTGATATAGTGAACCCTTGATATAGCGAATTTTTAAATCAAATATATTAAAATTACCTTTACTATAGTGAACTAGCCAATTAAATTCTTTAAAAAATTCGTTATAAGCTTATAACGAAGTTGATATCCAGATCCTAGAATTCGTTATATCAAGAGTTCACTGTAATTGTAATTATAAAAGGATATATAATATTATAATTTTGGAATATTAAAATTAAGTGATTATAGATAGAATATGATTATAAATAGGATAATTACAGATAGATCTAACTATATCATAATATTGATTATTTACTAATAATTTTCTGATCATATAAAACATTTTGCAAAAATCTAAAAAAAAAATATTAGCAAAAAAATAAAAATAAATTTTTTTTTATAATTCCTTCCTTTCTATTATAAAACTTCTATATATATAAATATCATATTATTTTAAAATTTTTAAATAAAATAAATTATATATAATTTAATTAATAATAATAAAACTATTTTATTTAATAATTTAAATTATTAAAAATATAAAAGTAATAAATATAAAACACTATTATATAAAAGTAGCTTTCAAATAATTATCAATTATTTCTTATATATATTGATTATATAGTATTTGTCTTTAACCTTTCAGATAAAATCATAGAACTTTAGGTAAATTCTAAATTTTTATCTTTTATTAATAATTTAAAAATATATGGTAAATTGAACTATTTCAATTTATTTGAAACCAAAAGTTTTTTATATGTAATTTCAACCAATTTTTTTATAAATATGCAAAAAAAATGTTTAATAATTAATTTTAAATAAAATTATTGAGTTTAGTTTATTTTACTAATAATCATTTTACTAATGTCTATTTTACTAACAATAATTTACTCAATCATTTTTTTTTTAATAGATTATTTTGCCAACTAGATCATTTTGTTAATATTTATTTTATTAATATTAAAAATATTATTTGATTATAATCATAAAGTTTTACAATATAAAATTTTATAAAATAAACTGTCTAAAATAATTGTATCAATGATAAAATAGTAGTTGATAAATAATTATATTAGTAAAACATCTATTGATAAAATAAATATTAGTGAAATGATTATCAATAAAATAAATGTATTCCTAACTTAAAAATTAAATTGATTTTAATATATTTTTTTTAATATTACTTTTAGTAAAAGTTACTGAATAATAATTCAATTTTAATAACAATTAATATTACTACTTCATAATTATAATTATATGATCTATATAAAATTTTAGTATATTATTATATAGGAATAAATACATATGATATAAAAAATAAAATGATCGGCAACATAAGTGATAATTGCTTAATATTTGATTAAATTTATTATATCTTTTATTTCGTTATTATATCGTTATGTATTTAAAATATAATACTAAATATAATTCAATACCCCCCAGATTTTATTAATTACAGGGTTAAGATGATCATACGAGAACTTGGCACTAAATTAGATTAATAGAATTTTATATACATCAGTTATCATCTGATAGAAGAACACAACATATATATTCGGATTTTTATGTCGGAAATTTTTGGGATACACGATTTAAGGGATATTTTTGCTTCCCAACAATTTATCATCATTTTTATTTCTAGTTCTTTTGTAGTCGCTGAAATTGTTTTATTTTCTACGAAAATTGAAAAAAAAAGAATAAAATGGATAAACCTGAGATAAATAATATGCTATATTTTATAGTACCACAAGGTAATATTTACTTTTTACGGCATGAATTTGACTTTATATTCTAATATCTGATCGTTTACTAGGACAAGAAACAACAGAAAACAAAAACTCAAATATACAAGGATCATCACGGACTCAAAGTGGAGTACAGAATTCAAGAAATAAGACTGACTTATCGTATGAAAAGTATATTCGCCCGTTAAAGGAGAAAGGAGTGGAACCTACATATTTTCCATATATTAACAAACTTCCTGGTAAACCGATTTGATTATATTAATAAAAAAAGTTCATTGAAATTTGACTGCATATTTGAACATGTGGTCTTATTTTGATGGTTTTTGGGGATAGGTAAAGTGAAGATAGTAGGAGATAAAAGCCTTAGAAAACTCGTTAACAAACATCATCGAAGGTGGAAAGAAAAATATCCCTCTGAGAAATATCCTCTAGATTCAAATATATTTGAACGTAACTTGTTGAATTTAATCAAACCCGGACCAATTCCAGGTGTAAGTTATGTATATATATTATTTAAGTTAGAAAATACTGTTTGCCAGAAATTGACAATTATATTCTTTCATAAAAACTTTGGGATATTCGATAGTTTGACTCAGCAGAACATGGGTTAGTCGAGGATAGAAGATCAATTTCAAGCTCTTCAACACAACTTTCCTCACATAACAATATTCGACCGACATTGGGCTATTCACAAGCTAGTCTTTCGGAGTTATGTAAGTGTTTTGGGATAAATTCTATTTTATTTTTGAGAATTATTTTTTATATTCGTCCTAATTCACAATCATTTATTGACGTAGCATCGCATGGCTCTCATCTAGACGAAGATAAAACGCATGAAAAGAAAAAAGTACTTGGCAATTTTATGAGAAACTTACGTGTTTCTTTATATATGACACTAATATAATATATATATATATATATTGTAATATTTAAATTAACAGAAGAAAAAACGAAAACACGAAATGGATTATGATGGAGATAGAAAAAGAAAACATAAACACGATAAAGAACATAGAAAAAATGGAACTGATGGAGAATATAAGAAAAAGAAGCGAAAGAAGGTATGTATTACTTTTTATTATTATATTTTTTCCAATGAAATTTATTTTATTTTATTTTTTTTTTTTTCATGGAATTTAATTGAATTTCAGTCGAGATTACATCAGAAATTTTCAAATTCCTTTGAACTTGCCTTTATTTAACGCATCACCCTTTGTCATCCAATTTTTTTTTGCACTTAGGAGAAGGAAAAGGAGAGAGAAAAGTACTATTAATTGATCAGGCTAACTCCGAGTTGTTTATTTTACCAAGGTTTGTTTATTTTTATTTTGTTTATTAATATATATATATATATTATATATATATATAATTTTTTTTTATAAAAAAAAGGTTATATATATACCATTTGTTGTTATCGCTTACAATAGTAAATTGATTTAGAAAATTGCACCAAATTTTCTGAGTTTTATTAGTAGGAATATGGTTGCAAGTGATTGTGACGAAACATAATGGCGGTTTATTTTCGACATATTCATACACTCGTCTTTTGATTGTACATACATTATTAATTACTAATATATTTAGATTCGATTTAGTTTTTTTAGAGAAAAATAATATACTTTATTATATTTTATTTTTATTTTTTTTTTTTTTAATCAATCTGTCAAATGTTATTTGTTATTTGTTGCTTTTGCTTTATTATCAATATTGAGATTTACATTAAACGGTATTCTTTTAATTCATTGTGTTGGTTGATAATGACAATGTTTAAAAGCTAAGAGGTTAATAAAAGAAGATCGTAAATAGATTGGCCCGTGTTAAAAATTAGTAAACTGTTATCTAATGACTGGAAAATATAATTTAGTATTAACCGATATTATTCTTAATCAATTTTTTTTATTAAGAACAAATCTATAAATACCTTTCTACTATTAAACAGAGAATTTTTTCCGATGATTCAGATGTATAAATTTAAAACAAATAAAAATGAAGCCAATAAAAATCTCTCAAATTAACTCGGTAGTGATTGAAAAAATTTTTTTTTTTTTGAGATTATGAGATACTTGAAAGTTTTTTTAAAAAAAAAGTACATTTATATATAATACACAATGTTGATTGATCAAATTGAAGATTATTTAAAAATATGGGTGAAGCAAGAATACTAAACCCTAATAAATTACATGCAATCGATCATTTTTTCGTCAAATAGCAAAGATAATCTTCGAATTTGTACTGTTGGATACCTGTAACGGTGTGAATGAAATAATTACTTCGAAAAATCACAAATCGCTATGGTGTAGGTTCATTGTTTGTTAACAAAGGAGTTTCTTCGGTCGGTGTACAAATATCACGTTTACAGATAGGACACTATAGTAAAGATAAAAAAAAAAGTTTTTAATTGATGCTTTATTATAAACTTTAATTTATTAAAAATTTACTTACGAATTTCTTTCTTGTCGTTAACCAACTGTCAATACACACGATGTGGAATTCGTGCTTGCATGGCAGAATCCTTAACTCATCCTCATCGACATAATCTTCCAAACAAATTGCGCATTCTTGCGGTTCATTCTCTTGTCTCTTTGAATCGAAGAAGATTTTCGTAGCCAAGTTTCCAACAACTTGTTGAGGCGCTATATCTTGTTTACGTCTTTGACGTTGGCGGATACGCCATAAAACATATATAAAGATCATCATTACTGTCGGTGACAAAATCACAACAATGATTACATCAAGTAAAGGCCTAAATAATAATAAAAAAAAAAAATAGTTCCATAAATATTGACACGTTCATTTAAAATTTATGCAAAATATGGATTCGGCATTACCACTGTAAAAGGTTATCTTTGACAAGCTGCACCTCTACTTGTTTTGATAATTCTATGGTTGACTTTATTGCTCTATATTCGGATTGCGCAACAAATACAGAAGGAATTTTCACATCAGAAGTATCCCCTAAAGAACAAGAAGAATGTTTATAGGAATTTTTTTTTTTTTTTTTACTAAATAAGCCAATGAAAGAAATTAAAATATGATAAATACATATCATTCGCAATAACTCACCAGTGGCATACATGGTTATCAACCCGTTTCGTTCATTATCTCCTACAACCACTGCGATAGCTCCTGATGCCTGCATGTTTCGAACCTTTTCAATGAAAGAACATTGACCACGTTCTACAAGAACGATCTGATTTTCAACCTCAATAGAATTTTTCAACTTGCTGCAACCCTTTTTATTATCAGGCTCAATATCCTCTACCAAAACAAGGTATCCAAAAAGACCTTCATCAGAAAGACGTGGTCCAAACGCGGCGATTCGATCTTGATATGTTACATTTGTCGCCTAATGAATAATGAATATATTTTTGGGCATAACATAATTGATTATATAATGCAAACTAAAATGCGTTCAAAATCAAATGGATTAAAATAAGACAAAAATGCTTATAGAAAAAAATTTTTATACGTAAAAACTTCCAAGCTTTAAATTCAAAAGATTTTTTTTAATCAAAAAAAAAGATCATCAAATGTAAAATTATGTAAGAAATTCAATACATTAATTATTCTTTAAAAAAAAAAAAAAAAGCATTCCAAATCCTTCCCAATAAGAAAAAAATATTTCAAATTTATACAATTTGAATTTTTATGTTGGCAATAAAAAAAATATATAAATCTTACCACGACAACAATAGTTGCGTCGACAACAGTACTATCGCAATACAACTGAGAGCATTGAACCAACAGTAACAGTAGGAAGAACCGTTTAAACAAACGTAAGAACATTAAGGAATATATATTGTGAAATCGTTGCTTTTCAGCTTAAGTGAATAAGTCAAAAATTAATTCTTATGAAAATTCTTACAAAGACACTCGTATGATATTCAACCAATATTTTTTTTTGGATATTCTGCACACTAAAAATTTGGAGACGGAAACCAAAAATACAGAAATAATATAAATAGAATTGTTTCATCTCCTTTTTGCCTACGTAAATAAATCTTATCAGTTATTTGATTTACATTGTAAGAATCCCATGACTATCCTATGCTTGTTTCAATTTGATTTACAATCTTTCGCTATAAAAAGAACGTTACATTTAAGGAACAAATGGCGTCAAAACGGACAAATTAATAGTTTTATGTAATATATCATGTGACTTTAATAAGCTCTAGATTTCTTTCACATAACGCCACAGACTATTTTCAGGGGTTCGTTCAGGCGCCACAAGATTTCCGCACGCATTATCTATAGTTTAAAAAATGCAATAGAAAAGGGGAAAAAATAAAAATGAGTCAATGTTAAATCTGACCATATTTGGCATATAAAAGTCAAATGTGATTTTTTAAGAATAATATAAAATTTGCTATTTATAAATTTCATTTTTTAAAATAATTTAATATAATATCTAAATATAACTTAATAAAAATAATAACTTTTATTAAATTAAATGTAGCTAATAAAACTTAGTAAACAAAAAAAATATAAAAAAAATAAAAACATTTATATTGATATATATATATATAAGATTGCTAAAAAAAAATGGGATTCTAAAACTTTTTTCAAGATTAATTTTATAATACAAAATCTTATTATCTTTATAAATAATTATTAATCTGCTTAATGTGATATAATTTTTATAATTAAATATAATGCAGAATTATTATGTAAATAATGTAGATTAATAAGCTAAATAATTTATAATTAATTGTCATATAATTATTTAGATAAATAAAAACTTAGAAAAGCTACTTAAATTAAAAAAATTTATTATTATTTTTTCATTATTCAAAAAGTTTTATATAAAGAAAATAAAGATTTTATAGTATATAATCTAATATTCTAATACTTAATTTGTTTTTTGATATTTATTACTTTTTAACTAATGTTATTTTTACTACTATAAATATTATTAACAATATTATTTATCTCTATTAACACATATTTAATAGTAAAAAAAGGTTTTTTAACACAAAAAGTCTTGAAATCTATTTGGTTATTATCTTAGATATCAATTTTATTTTCAAGCTCAAATTCAATTTTGTTCTTTTTAAACTCAAATTCCAATTTATATATTATAATGATAATAATACTTGCTAAAAAAATAAGTATAAAAAAGGCTTTAGTCTGATAATAAATTATACAGTTCAATTGAAAAAAAATAAATAAGTAGAAATATGAGTAAAAAGGCTTTAACTTGATTATAAATGTAAATACTTATTATTATGATCTATATACTATTCTATTCTAGTATAATTAATATATAAAGAAAATAAAGTAATCTCTCATAGCTTTTCGATCTACATATTATAATGATAATATTTACTAGAAGAACAAGTATGAAAAAAAGTTTTAGCTTAATAACAAAATATATAATTAATAAAGAGGGATAATTTAAGTAAAAAATATAAGCAAGAAGGCTTTAACCTAATTATAAATATAAATACTTATATGCAGATTTAAGAATTATACTGTATTATAGAATTGAGAATAGATTACATCAGAACATTGATCCTTTTAGACAATAAATGTAATTAGATTCATTAAAATATAATGTTAAAAGAAGTATAGTAGAGTAAGTAATTCAAATTTAAATATTTGTCTAAAGATAGATAATCCTAAAATAGGAAATTTGTAAATGACATATTTAGAAGAAATCCATATATTAGCCAATTCTGTGTTCCATTTGAAATCCTCAATTGAGGTAAAGGTCAAATAATCAATGAATACTTGTGTTTTAAAATAAAATTCCATTTGAGACAGTTTAAGTATACTGGATTAGATAAAACTATCTTTTTGAGTAATTTAAACCAATGTGAAGTAATACTATTAAAGTTTGTTAAAGAGAAAGATGTAAGTTAGATATTATGATAGTTTATTTGTAATAATGACTTAAGACAGTAATAAGATGTTTTTGATCTAATATTATATATATCTGTGATATTTTAAGGCATAATTGTTTAAAGAGAAACT